TTCATTTTATTTATTTTTCGCCCTCCTCAAAAAAATTGACTTAAAAACTTGAGAAACAAGGAATAAAAAAAGTCTGGCCTTACTTGGACCAAAGTATTCTGGTTCCTGTGCTCCAGCGGTTTTCCGTCTTGCTGATGGACTGTCAGGACCGAAGGCGCTGCGAACAGATTTTAGAGACCGTGATGATCCAGAACGAGCTAGCGTACTCATACTTGATGTGTCTCCTTGGTAACCCTATCGATGAAAAAATAAAATGAGAATGATTGTACTACAACTAATAGTTTTATAAATTATAAGAATCAATTCATAAATCCACTCCAGTTCCATTTTCTGCATCCTACCATATTAGGAAATGAATATTCCAAATAAGGATGGTGTGATGCAGAATATAGTAATGAATGAAGTTCATAGAGGAAATATTTGACTAATTTTTATCACTTTGCCAAGTCGAGAACAAGGATACAACAAAGTATCAAACAAACTCTGTATAAAATATATTTGTGAAAATATCATAAGCTAAATTTTCTGATATAAAACGCATTATTGGCGATAATTCCAAATGCAAGTAAAATGCACAATATATACCTACCTTAATATACAAAGTTCTTTCAATTTTACCATTATCTTTATTCTTAGCCAGCCATCTTTCACAATGAAATGTAACTACATCATTCTCATCATCGATAATCTCAACTTTGTCTAAGAACCATGCAGGGGATAACATTGAGTTGTCATGACGAATTGTCATTTTATATATTTTACCAAGATCCACAGCTTCAAGCGTAAATTTATCAGTCTGTTGAGAAGGAAAAAAATAAATAAAAATATGTCTTGTAATTTTGATGTAATTTTGTTAAGATTTATGTTAGTATTAACATACTGTCTGCTGTGGCTTTTTTGGACACTGTCAGTAAAGATTTCAGCAGGAATGTTACTCATTACTGATTACAAATTATCACAATAAGAATGCTGCATTAAGGCCAGGAAAAAAAAAATCTCTGTTTCTCGTTTCATGGAATTTTTTTTTTTTTTTTTTGAATAAAATGGGGGAAATTTGAGACAAGTGCGAGTACAAGCACATTTTGGAATGCTTTAGAAGGAAAAAAACATCCGAGGCACGTAGTTCAAAATGATGCGCTCGGAAACGAGAAATAGAGATATTTTTTTTCTCAGCCTAAAATATAAAATACTGTATAAATAACTCACTTGTCCTTTTTCAAACTTATCCATATGCGTTTCTGATTTGACTAGTTTTCGTTCTCCAGTGTCGCCATATTCACCAAATACATTTATAAATACATTGGCATCCGTACCAGCTCCTTTGACATCTCCAGTTACTACATTGACTTTATACACACGTTCTGGAGAATGAGAAATATGCAGTATGTGAAAAAAAAAATATTTTTAGATTTGAGGTTTTCCAGATAACTGGTGAACTTATCACGGGTGTCTACACAAGTTTACACAAGTCAGGAAAATTACAAAATTGTGATATTTCAAAATGGCTGGCACACTTCATGGTGTGAACCATACAATAATGTATAATATATGGATTTAGAGCAAACAAAACTCTAACAAACACACACACACTCACACATAAGAATGTAACTTCATAGCATGGGAATTTATAAATGGGAATTTGTAACAAGGGATTGTTGACTGAGTTCATGTACACACACACATGCATATCAGTCACCTTGGCAACATAACAAAGCTGAAAAACACATTTTTCATGTAAAATATATTTACACATGAGAAACATTTCATAGTTATCTGAATTTGAAGTTCAAATGATCCAAATTCATTATTTTATAAGAAACAAAGTTTTTTAAAAGAAAGGGATTTACCAAGCTAAAAATTTCACTCTTATGAGAAGATAAAGAATTATAAGAACCAGGATGTGTGACCTTAGACAGAGGTCAGACAGGAAGTGAATCTGATCAAATGAGCAACCACACATACATTAAGGAAATATTTTTTGAACTTAAAAGAATTACCAGATAAGAAAGAAGCAGAAATAGAGTATACATATAGAAAGTAGAGAAATAAGAAAAGATTTGGTAATCATCATACTATTATGAAACATATGCACCAATGAAATACAATAAATATATTATTAATAAGACAAAATCAATGTTTTTAGCAGGCATCTTTATAGTGAGAAAAGTATAATTTTCCTTTCAATATTTTGCTTGTATTTAGTTGTATCAATGGAATAAAATTATCCAACATTGAATTAAATAGGGATTGGGAGATTTAGAATTAATGTAAAATACTAATTTATTTTAACTGAATGGATGATTCAGTGAAAATAAAATCTATTTAATATACATTTTTTTCTAAATTCAGTGAGATAAACTCCTTACAAACCATCCAAAATATCTTTTCAGTCATTGATATAAGCACATGCACTATTACTATAGTAAGTAAAGTATGTATATTGTCAAAATAACAACAGTTTATAGGTAAAAATAATTCATATTGAACTTACTCTCAAGGGTTGCTTGTTTTACTTGTTTGGTTTTAACAGAACCATCCTTTCGAGTCACTTCCTCCACAATATGCGTCGGCACTAACTCTCGAACGATAGAACCATCATCTTCTTTCCGTGCCAACCATCGACCACAAGGAAATGTAAAAATCTTTGAACCCTATTCAACAATCACAACAATATATATTTATTCAAATCATAATAATTAACAAAGCAGCCAACACAGAAGTCCCTTAGAAGTATCGACTAATCAGAATGCAATAAATCAGTCATGTGACATATTCCCAGGGTGTCTGCCATTGACTAATCAGAATGCAATAAATCAGTCATGTGACATATCCCCAGGTTGCCAATCTGAAGTTTAAGCAGTACCGATAATTTCATATATTCTTAGGGTGTCTGCCATTGACCAATCAGAATGCAATAAATCAGTCATGTGACATATTCCCAGGGTGTCTGCCATTGACCAATCAGAATGCAATAAATCAGTCATGTGAGATATCCCCAGGTTGCCTATCATTGGTCAATCTGAAGGTTAAGCAGTACCGGTAATTTCATATATTCTCAGGGGTGTCTGCCATTGACTAATCAGAATGCAATAAATCAGTCATGTGACATATCCCCAGGTTGCCTATCATTGGTCAATCTGAAGGTTAAGCAGTATAGGTAATTTCATATATTCTCAGGGTGTCTGCCATTGGCCAATCAGAATGCAATAAATCAGTCATGTGACATATTCCCAGGGTGTCTGCCATTGACCAATCAGAATGCAATAAATCAGTCATGTGAGATATCCCCAGGTTGCCTATCATTGGTCAATCTGAAGGTTAAGCAGTACCGGTAATTTCATATATTCTCAGGGTGTCTGCCATTGACCAATCAGACTGCTAAACAGTCATGTGACATATCCCCAGGGTGTCTACCATTGACAAATCAGAATGCTAAACAGTCATATAACATATCCCCAGGGTGTCTGCCATTGACCAATCAGAATTCTAATCAGTTATGTGACATAACATCATCACGGTATCAAGAAAACATTAAATTATGCAAATTATATGCAAAACACAGCAAAATTTTGTTCCTCTTACCTTTCCTTTGTCAAGGAGTCTTCTGACTTCTACTTTATGTAAATGCCAGGCTGCACCAAATCCTGAATCATCATGTCCAATCCTTATCTTCTCAATTGTATCACCCACATCCTCCATCTGTAAAAGTTATTTACCTTGTGATATAAGTATGATTCTATTGTTTATCATAAATACGATTCTAATATTGACATACTACCATAAAATCTTTATTTGTAACAACATTACTACTAGAAGCTGACCAAACATTCACCATTTCTCATATGTGAAGCTGCATCTCCTCTGTTGCATTATACCATTTTAATAGAAACCACAGCTTCTAATACAGATTTTACAGTGCAATCATTTTAACAAGTGATATGTATTGTTTAATTATACACCCAACTTTGATGCATATAGTTCTATCATATACCTTGCTGTGGATATTTGTTGACCCAAGTGGTACATACATTAGTGCAATACGGGGTTTTGTGGAGGTCGAATTTACATATTAAGTATCTGAAGAAAGCTACAATACACATATTTATTTCTACTTAATATCTCTGTCTCACAAGTACATCACTGGCATAAGTCTCCCATGTTAAAGTTGTCACTGAATAAAAAAACTTACTTACCTCAACAACAAACTTATCTACTTTGTTCCTCTCAAAGCATTCTTTTCTTTGTTTTTTATTGGAACATAAACTCTTCTGTGAAGTGCAGGTGTCTTTGCCAAACAGAACAATATAGACATCTGCATCTGTGCCGGCACCTGACTTATCAGTGGTGTGGACGGTGATTTCATATGGAACATCTAGCAACAGTAATAATAAAATTTCAAATTTAAAAATTCAAAATGGACATGACTGATGAGTAAAAACATGTTAAAAGTACTACAAAATGATACTTGGCAGATTGAAAGTTTCCATTAAATTAATGACAAAAAGCACATCAAAACCATAGGTATGACTACTTTCAAATAAAATTGTTATCACTAAAGTAAATATTTCATTTTTAGTCAAATATTGATACAAAGTGAATGACAACAATCGTTACATCTTACGTTTCTCATATTCTTCAGTTCTTGTTTCCACCGGATACAATTCTCTCTCAATCAGACCATCGTCTTCTTTCTTGTCGAACCATCTATGGCAGGGGAATGTCCACTTTTTGCCTAACGAGGGCGCATCAATGTCCACTTTTTCAAGCATCCATCCAGGACCTGCTCCGCCATTGTAGTGACCAATTCTAAATGTAATACAATATACATGTATTTTATTAGTAGTGTATGCACTAATACTTAAATGACAAAGGTGTGTCTGTGGTTAAACTATGGTAATTGCAGAAGGAATCACAATTAATAACAGAATTTGCAAAAAATATGCTTTAGTTCATCTAAAAAATGACAAGTAAAACAGTAGGCACTGAAAATGTTTGTTTTTTTAAGCTTTTGTAACATAATTGGAAAATCATTTCAGTCAGATTTAAAATAAATACCAAACTCTGATGTGATTAAATAATTCAATATACTAGTATGCCGGAAATGTATTGAGTGCCATTGTCATTGTTTGACACCTTTACAAAATAAATTTGAACGGTCTGCTCATTCACTTATAAAATGTTGATAAAAATTGACAAACCTTTTGATCAAAAACTAAAAGCAATACCTGAAAATGTCTGTATGGTCTAAAATGATGATGAAATTTAGCGACAATTTTCTAAATGTGAAAATATTAGCACTGAATTGTTTCCGGGAAGAATATCAAAGGGTTATTTAAAGTGCCAGAGGCTGTATGCCTAGTCCTCTTTACGCAGGATACCAATGACACAGATGCTACAAAATGTTTTTTTTTAAAGTGTCATATACCAGATCGGATAATTAAGCACGACTTACTTCAATTTCTTTATTTCTCCAATATCAACTGCTTCAATTTCAAACTTATCAACTTTACCACGTTCAAACTTATTCTTATTGGTCTTTGAGGTCTTCAATTGTATTAAACCTGAACATAATTGGAAAAAAAATCATAGTAATGTCACTAACAATAAATTCTGAATGAAATCTCTATTCACGAACATCCACCTGTCACATTAGGTCACATGACAAGTCATCTGTCACAATCACTTTCAGGTACTACCGGTACACCCACTCTCCTGAGTCGCACTGAATCACCTTCACATTGATTTACCTATGTCACACTGACTCCCCTGTTACATTGACTCAATAGTCATATTGACTCACCTGTGTCACACTCAACTAATGCATTGACTAAAATGCGACACTCACCTGTGTCACTCATTTGCCTGTGCTATTGAATCACTTGTCACATTGACTCATCTGTGTCATACATACGCACCTGTCACACTCATCTGATACACTGAGTCACACATATTCACCTGCCACACATACTAACATGAGTCACACTGACTCACCAGAGTCACACTGACCCACCTGTGTCACATTGACTTATTTGTTTCACTGACATACCTGACTCAATCTCACTAATCAGAGTCACACTAACTCATCTGTCACACTAACTCACCCGAGTCACACGGACCCACCTGTGTCACATTGACTTATTTGTTTCACTGACATACCTGACTCAATCTCACTAATCGGAGTCACACTAACTCACCTGTCACACTGACTCACCCGAGTCACAGCTGTGACACATTGACTTGTGTTTCACTGACACACCAGACTCAATTCACTAATGTGAGTCCCACTAACTCACCTGTGTCATCACTTTCCCCATACAATACCACATAAACATCAGCATCAGTACCAGCTCCTCTAACATTGGCTGTTTCTACTGCTATGTAGTAGGTTGTCATTATGGCTGGAAAAAAAAAGTAGAAAATGAAGAAACAAATTCCTTGTTAAATAATTATTTCATATGAATTTAATAATACAGTATTATCATCCTCAAGACCCAGTTATGAAAATTTCAATTTATAGGTAGATTTATCTTCTTGATATCACTGGCAGACAAATCATCTCTCTGGTTACCTTTAGTTTCCAATGCCAATGAGTCCCTGAGACCAGTGCTGGATTTTCGTTTATCTCCCATTCCTTTCATCTTAGATTCCATAATCCGTCTATCCACTGGCACCAAGTCACGAGATATTTGACCATCATCCTCTTTCGTTGCTAGCCAACGTTGACATGGGAAATAATACCTAGAGACAAAGAAGACCAGTTACATCTTATTTTAATTTTGATATTTTCAAATATATTTAGAATATTAGTGTTATATAATTTTTCAAAAACAATTTTGTATGTATATTTACACCAATACTTAATTGCATTTAGAAATTGATCATTAAAATTTGACTTATTAAAACACATCTCTATCATTTACGTAAGCGCATAGATATACTACTAATATACTACTAATACATCAATCAACGAAATACGTCTTGTAACTCAGTACAAGCATGTCTAAGAAATAATGCTACAAACATTTCTAATACTGTTTATTACTGATGTTATCATGAATCTCAGTACCTCTCTTTGTTTTGTGTGTCTTCGATCTCCACTCTATCCAGAAACCATGCTGAACCCAACATTGAATCATCATGACGAATCTTTAATTTCTTCAAATTTCCAAGTTCTACAGCTTCTATCCTGAAGACGTCCTCCTACAGAAAAAATGTGTTGTTGAATGAATGTTAAATTTGATGAAATGGTGGTATGCACATTCAGATGAGCTGCAATAAAATCTGATATTTTAATTTTTTTGGAATCTTTTCATTTTTTTCAAATAAATTATGCCTAAATCATAGAAAATTAACAAACGAATTATGAAAAATGAAAGGAATTTTGAAAAATAATAAATTTTGGCAGAAAATATTATTGCTTTCAAATTTTCAAAAAAAGTGTTAATCTTGCAGGAAACGCAAGTCAGCAGAATCAATCTTTTGTTTACTCAAATATTTTCCCAAAATATGACATTTTTTATATATCACCAGTGGTTGATTTTGAATATCAACATCAGCTTTCACAAAATAAACTAACTTGTTTTAATAGTCAAATTCCTTTCAACAAAAAATGGCTGCTATCACCAAATATATAGCCAACATATTTTTTTCTAAAAAAATATTATATTGATATAATAAAGAACTCACAAATACAAATTATAATTCAAGGGCATTTCTTGTTTTGAAGAGGCTTGCATATTAACTGTATTTACTGAGTGAATCCAACTTACGCTATTCTTTTCAAACTTATTTCTGTTTGTTTCTGACTCTTTGAGTTCTCTTTCACCAGAATCCCCCATTTCACCAAATAAATTGATAAACACATTAGAATCGGTGCCAGCTCCAGACACATCACCCGTGAATATGTGAACAATGTATTCGTTATCTGTGGGGAAAAAAATGAATATGCAATTTACCGGGGAGTCACAATGATTTTGAAAAATATTCTTAACACCCAGTGTATCATGCCAGTCAAAACTTTTTTAAGGTTTTTTTGTCTCAATTTTATAAAAAGCGAAGAGAAAAAAATATATTTTCATGAAAAATCACAAATTTAACGACAATTGCAGAACATTTTTCATTTTACAAAAGTGTTACAAAAAGTAAAAAACATCTAAAAATCATTCAAACAGTTCAAATACTGCCTACAAAACCTCTACTGTTATACTGCAACAGGTTTTATTTTGTGAAAAACAACTCTTTGCAAATTATTTGAGTCAGGGAAAAGACAAAATATTGTAACATTAAGATTTCTGTGACATTCACAAAATATTATCACTCTCAAATTCTGACATCATAAATATATCTAGCTGCAACAGAATAAATTTGATGTTAAATCTATTTCTAGTTGCAAGAATTTGACACTGCTTTCAAATTTCAACCCAAATTATCAAAAAAGCACAAGATTTTGAAAACAGTTGCCATGGTACTCACAATTCAGACCATGTCCTTTGAGAGCCCTACCCTCCTCATCAGTTGGAAGTAATTCCCGGACAATCTGATGATCTTCTTCATCTTTGGCAAACCATCTATTGCACACAAAATTTACTACATTTGTTTCAGGAATATCATCGTAATCCTCCTCATCATACTCTCCTCTTCTTCTCGGTGTTCCGCTCCTCTTTCGTTTCATTTTTCTCTTTGGGGGAAATCTTTCAATAATCACTCTTTCGAGATACCACCCAGCCGATCTGCCGCTATTATCATGACCAATACGGATCTTTGTTAACATTGCTACATCAGCCGCTTCAATCTAAAGAAAAGAAGTAGTTGATGATCACTTGATTTTACTTTTGATCTAAGTCATAAAATTCATTTTAAATTTGCAAAACATCATTTTTTATCATTAAACTGTGAAGTTGTATATGTTCAGTACCGGTAACAGTTATTAAACAAGGTCTCTGAATACATGGAATAAAGGTTGGATCCACAAAATGTCATCTGAAACAGAAAACAAACATTTCCTCATTCTCTCTTATTGTGAATTGATTATTAATTAAGAGAGTAGAACCTCCATTGTCAAAGTTTAATTACCTTGAATTTATCAGTCATGCCCCTTTCAAAATTATCAGTTCTGTTATTAAGGATAAATTCATCAGTTTTTCCTTTAAGGCCGTACATTCTGATGAAAACTTGGGCATCGGTACCAGCTCCAGACTTGTCTCCGGTGATCACTGTTATTTCATATGGTATTCCTGCAAATAATTACATTTTGGTTACTCTGGTCTCATTCTGGCAACTCTGGTCCCTTTCAGCCAATCTGGTTTTCAGGTATGATAGGTATTATATGATGTTCTCAACATGTACTTCAAAAATTACTATAAAACTCAAACAATGTGATGAAAAAAATCAACACTCTGGTCTACGCATTCATTAAGAAAACATGCTCCTGACATACAGTGACACATGCACATTATATGACTTTTACATGTTCATAAGATGTTCATATAAACATCCTATAGTTGCATCACTTTTAAACTTTAATTCACACCTTTGACAAGAATTTTTTGAAATTTTTCTAAATTATTCCCTGTGGCTAAATATTAAAATGTCTGTCAACTAATTTGAGGTATCTGATGTACAATATTGAGTAGGGGAGGGTAATGCAATGAGGAAATCACAGTCACTGTTACCCCTCTTACTTTTCATTTTTTTTGGTCATTAATTTGATTGAAAACCTTTGCTCAACATTTTTGGTTATCAATAGGTAAAAAAAATGCTTGTGGTATGCGTACAAATTTCATGGGACAAAAAATTCACACTTTTGACGTACTTGGTGAAAACTCTTTCATTTCGGTGATTTGTAGCTCCACCTCTATCTCTCCATCTCCTTCACTTTCAGCCAACCAGCGATGAGCGGCAAACATATAATTGAGACCATTTGATGGTATATCTATCTCTACGCTGTCTAAGAACCAACCAGAACCAGGTCCACTACCATCATGGCCAATCTTAATATATTCAAGCTGAGAAAATATAACAATTTTTTTTTATAATTAATTTAAATTTTATTGAATGTGAGACACCTCAACAAAGAATTCTTGTACAGAAAAAATACACTACTTCTGGTGAGCCTATGATGCGCACAGTTTTTTATTGCTCATATTATCATCAAGTCTGTTAGATCAAAGACTTATAGGATGAAGGTATGCAAGTGGTCAGATATGCATTGAAGATCTCACACAAATTGACAAAGTCACGAATTGCGACAAATATACATTCCTAGAAATAGGAAAATGAGTGATTCTGTGAAAGAACTGGTTAATGTTCATTTCCTAACATCTCTTCCGTGGTGCCATTGGCTAAAATATTGCTGATTGTACGCACACACTAAAGAAAACTGCAAGAACTTGAGATCTTGTGAGAACATCATCACATATCACCGGATATCTAAGTTGCATACTGTAATATACTTTATTTTAGCTGGAATTAATTTTTGTTGAAAAGACTTTTCGGGTGTTTTGTATGGAATTTATTTTCACTGATTTTTGACCAGTTGAAGTAAAATATAGGCAATATTTTCACTGAATCATTTCTTCAGCAAAAATAGTGAAAATTAATTCCAAGCGAAAGTATTTTACAGTACACTTATCTTATAGATGCTTGGATAAATATGTATTTTAATGACAATATTTCTATTATGACTTGCTTGTAATTGAACAATCACTTACTGTAGAATACTTTATTATCGCTTGGAATTTATTTTCGCTATTTTCGCTGATTGGATGATTCCGTGAAAATAAAATCCAGCGAATATACTTTTTTTCCTATATTTCACATTAAACTCATGAAAAATCAGTGAAAATAAATTCCAAGCAAAACGCCCAAAAAGCTTTTTCAGCGAAAATTAATTCCAGCGAAAATAAAGTATTCCACAGTATTTATATCCAATTCAATCCATTATGCTCAACATAAAAGCCATCAAAATAACCCGAGAATAAAATAGATAACTACCTTGCCGATATCGCATGCTTCAAGCACAAATTTATCCTTTCTTCCTTTTTCAAATTTGTTCTTTGTATTTTCAGACTGCTTGAGCGGAAGTTGTCCAGAGTCACCAAGCTCACCAAACATTTTAAGATAGACATTAGCATCGGTACCAGCATTCCGCTCTTCTCCTGTCTTCACGGTCACATGATATGATGTTGCTAGGATGAAAAATAAATCAGTTGTAATCATAATCACAAAGATAAGGACCACTCATGTTTCTGGTCACTGTGCTCATCAGTTAAAATGTATCCCTAGCATTTTTACAGGTTTTTGTCCAAATTTTAGAAAAAAACTAAAAATAAAATTTTAAGAAAATCAAAATTTAATCTCAAAAAAAAAAATGCATTAATAAATAAATGCATTTTTTTATTTTGAGATTTGAATTTTTTTTTCCATAGTTTAGTTTCATTTTACAGTGTTCAGTTTGGACAGGTAATGTGTTACTAAGAAAAAGCATTCAGCTAAGACAGGTATCAGGGTTCAGTTTAGACAAATTTCCAGTCTATTTAGACAAATATTTTCCTATGTAACATATTTCTCTTATTTTCTCTTCAAACAATAAACCAAGCATTCATTGCACAGACATTAATAGCTACTTACTGGACAGCAATTGTGATACACCTTCTGGTACTAATTCCCTTACTATCAAACCATCATCTTCATCTCGATCTAACCATCTAAAATACAAATATACATGTGCATGTTATGATAAAACAATAAGGATTAAATCGAGTTTATTATAATAGTTCAATGTTAAAATGTTGATATTCAAATGTGAAGAGCACATTATTAAAATTACTTTCGCATTTGTCAGATCCAACATGATGTTTTGATGCTGTGATGCTATGACCTCTGCCTTTCTTTAATAATCCATTTCACACATAACACATGATCTTGAAGTGAACGAAAAAAATGATCTTTTATATTTCTAGTAATCTAATCCATAGAGTCTGATAAAATTTAAGTTGTACCTGTTACATGGAAAGACGATTTTAGATTTAGGGTTATTCTGTTCTTCTACAATAACTTTATCCAAATGCCATCCTGCTCCAGCCCAACTGCCGTCATGGAATATTTTTACTCGTCGCAATTTCTTTAGCATCACTGCCTCAATTTCAAAAGTATCAGTCTGCAAATGAAATTATCATTACACAATGTCAATTTGGGTTTTAAATTATGGTGCATCACATGATATGATGTAGCCAATCACAGATCAGCATTTTGCATCATCAGTGATAAATTATGAATATAATGTGCTAGAAAATAAGAAAATAAACGTTTACTAAGGATCATTATCTAAATAAAAGTATGTACATACAGCATAAAACAATACTCTATCTTGGAACTATAGCGCCAAAGTGAATGAACAAACATGCCATTTCTGTTTGTCTACCACCTAAATATACATACTACATGATACCTGTCTACAACGTGCACTACTTTTTCATATCCTACTGATGAAATACTATTGCCCAAAATGCCTGGTTATTGTGAATCCTTGCTAACTACAAAAGGATTCTACTATTACCTATGGTCACTCATTCAATAGGATCTAGATTACGTGCATTTATAAATGTATCCATGGTTACTTGGCTCTCAATGAATATAAGGGAGTATATGCAGCAAATGATAGCAGCTATCATACTATTGGAACAGGAATTTTAATACTAAATTATTCTTTATGATCAGCTGTTTTAAATTCCGCAGAAAATATCCAAACTTGTTTTTTTAATAGAGCCTCAATAATTAACATTTTGTTCAGTTCCCAATCCAAATTGGCCACCAAAGTAGGATTCCATGTTACATTGTAATCACAAAGTTATTGTTTCCATGGAAACAAGTTCAGGTACCTAAATTTTAAAATTTTGCTTTGCTGAGTTTTTTAAACATCCACAGATTTCACAAGTTAGCCACATCTCTGGAATGCCATACTAGAAATTGTTGACATTATAATTGTGGATGATATAAAGTTCAAAAATTTTTCCATTTTTTTCTAATTTGTGAATTGCAAAAATGTACTCTGCCTTGAATGATGTTACATGATGTGGTTACACTAGTCTGGTGCTTGCATGCAAAAATTCACACATATTACTATACTGTATTTGCTCAAACAGAAGTGCATCTCCAATAAAACACATCAGATCCTCAAGAAATGTGTTTAGGTGGAATTTCATGAACTCACATTGTAATTTGTTTGCTTTAACATTACAAAAAGATTTTAAGTGTATGTCTTTCTGATAGAGCAGATACAGCATAGATATATTATCTCCATAGAGATACTAGTACAAAAAGATTTTTTTTTTAAATCAACATAATAATACCTGTATTAAAAAAACTATAAATTTAACACATTTTTAAATGTCTTAGAAAGTGATGAAGAAAGTGTGTAAAGTTAGTAGAGGTCAGAGAAACGGAACATATTGCACGTGACATAACAAAAACAACACCTTTTAAGCAATAAACATACTTACTGAACCTCTTTCAAAAGCATTGATCTATTATGTGCATATGGTAAGAAAGCAGGATACAATGGGAAGAAAAAAGGTGATTCATTATGAAATTAAAATTATCAAGAACGGCTTATGTTGCTGATTATTCAATTTTGAAAACCGTGAAGAAAAATTGTGTTTCCGATGTCAGCTCTTTTCTTTCTAAAGAAACAGATGTGTAAATAATAGTGGTATTTTATTATCACTAATTTTAATTAAGACATTGTAACAATACAATAAATAGTATCCTCGGGGGCGGAGCTACGTCACAGACGTTCTACGTTGCTAAGACGCACACCACTGTACCATGCATTTCTATGGGCTCTGTGCGCGCTGCTGTGGAACGCCGGTGGAGCCGGTGAAAACTTGAGAAAACAACACAAACTCAACTTTGAAGTAATCCTGAACAACCAAACTTATATATGCTACACACGTAGGGCTAATCTTGTTACACTGTTCAGGGGACTCTCAACAACCATCGCAAAGTACCGTTTTCTGCGAGTTTTTGGTCTTTGTTTTCACCGCGAGGGTTGCCAGGTGGTAGAAAATGGTAATGGAATACATTTCAAAGTTAGCGTCCCCTATTGTGTGGACAATGATAACAAAAATGAGAACAATTACTTACATCACCTCTTTCAAATTTATTGATGTGTTCACTTTTGACTAGAGGGCGCTCTCCTGTATCTCCTTGGTCACCATAAAGCACACAGAATACATTGGCGTCTGTACCAGCACCAAATTTGTCACTGGTTACCACGGATACATTGTATTTCACAACTTTTAAAAAAAATGAGTAAAGTTTGTTATATACTTATCAAACCACTGCATGTTATATGCAGTTACATTATTGTCTGGTTTAAAAAATATAACGCTTTCACTGCCAATGTTAACTTTTGTAACCTTCCACACAATATAGTCCCATTACAAATCTACTCATTTCTATACAAGAATGTCAATTTCTAAAATTTTGAATTTCTATCAATATTTTATTCTATCTGTTTGGTTGAAAAGTAAATATCAATTTATAAAAAAAAATATATTTGGATTTTGTCACGAAAATATTTGACTGTAAAAATTGTTGAAAATTGGAACCAGATTATGAAGAATCTTGTCTGGAAATATTGCATTGCATCATGGGATTTGTTACAGACTTTCTTCACCAACCTAAGGCTTGGATAGTGAACATGATTTGGTCTTAATTAGCACTGAAATTCCAAAGACAACTATGGTCACCTTTCATAAAATATAAGCCAATATATTTTTTTTCACATTTATTCTTTTTATTTTGATTCAAACGTGGAGCCAATCAGAATATATGTTCATTTGGTCAAAACATAAAAGAAATTATAGAAAATACATGAAAATGTGAAAATGTTGGTGGGAAAAATAATGGTTTTTAAAGAGTTACAAAACTAACTGAAACTACTATAACAATATATGTTCTTACGTGGTTGTGGTTTTTTAATAGTTTCTCCCTCAGCTGGGATCTCTCTGACAACACAACCATCATCCTCGTCTTTAGCAAACCATCTATTGCAATTGAAAATATATTTCTTCTTTGTTGACATATTTTCCATTGTAACCTTACAAGAAAACAAATTTAATTATTTTTTTTTACAGTGTCATTATATGTAATTTACTTGCAGTAGTAAAAAACATCAATTTCATTTTCAGTTTATACAATAACACACTGAATGGTACTTGAAGTTTGGGACAAATCCTGCACACAAACAAATCTTGAAAGCCTGGATGTTCATAAATGTTTGTCTACGAAGAATACTGAAAATACGATAAAACAGTTGTGATCAGCAACCAGGAGTTATGGGAAAGAATGAGTCAACAGCCCTTACAACGGGAGATATTTCAGAGACGCTGGCGCTGGCTGGGACATACCGGTACCCTATGAAAAACAGTCCAAAACATCACAAGGGCAGCACTAAATAAAACCCACAGGAAAAAAAGAAAACGAGGTCGTCCAAGAAACACCTGGCGATGGGATGTAGAGGCTGATGTCCGGAAGCTGGGCTATACCTGGGGAGAAGTGGAAAAACTGACACAGAACCTCTCCTAGTTGGAGGAATCTTGTTGGTGGCCCAAGAGGGATGATAGGCATAACTACCTAAAACAAATCTTGCACACAAACAAATCGTGCACACAAATTAACACATACAGACACATACCTGTTTCAAAAACCATCCAGCAAATGCACCAGCATTATCGTGTCCAATTCGTATCTTATAAGGTTTGCCAACATCAGGCACTTCTATTTTGAAACTGTCTACGTTGCCTTTTTCAAAGTTATCGCTTGCATTGTTAAGTACTATATCATCTGATTTGCCTTTAGATCCGTACAAACACAACATGACTTTGGAGTCTGTGCCGGCAGCAGTCTGGTCACCTGTGTGTACAGTCACATGCCAAATATTTTCTGAAATGAAAGAATAGGACAAGAAAATAAAACACAAAAAGTACTGGAATGATTACAGAAATGACGTGTAAGAACCACCATAGTCAGTGATATATAACTCAACAATATTTTCTCTTTAGATTATATATCTATATCCTAAATCTCATCGTATTTTGGGTTCAGCTTCATGGCAGTTTTGTGTTAGACCCATAATTCGAGTAACTGAGAAATATTTGAGTAAACTATGATAAAAGCATGAAATAACTGACGAATAGCTCCTAACAATGCCAACGACAACTTTCTGGCACACTTGGTATACGTCGATAGAGGGAGCGATTTCACTTTGGTGGCATGCGAACATTGTCTATGACACTTGCCATTATGCAAACTTTTGTAATTTTCTTGATAAATGCGAATACAAACAATTTGTTTTTTACACAAATCAATGCTTATTCAATTGGAATACTTTTCTGGGAACTTAAAATGTTGTACCAAACCAAGTCTACTATGGCTAGGAAGCTACTCTGATAGAATTCATGAATGTCTGTTAATGTCAAACTAAGAGGGAGATTTTGTGGATTATATAAATTATTAGTTGTTTTTATATCTTAGTCAAATGTAAATATGGTAGAAGTGAAACAGTGGAGTGCTGGATGTGAGACTATTGTGCTATTATAATATTGAATATGAATAAATTACTATACATGTACATGCTGAGTATGACAACACAAAAAAAATTCTTTATATTTCACTAGGTTTTAAGCATTTCTGAAAGACTGAATACTAATTCTGGAAACGAAACACATGCGTTTGACAATCTGGACCATGTTTATCATATTTGGGAGTTATTGGACTGCATAGAAACCTGGAATCTATGGACAACTTTTTAGTAGCTATAGTAGTACTGGTTGGTATGTATTGCAAATCTTAGTGATGTGCATTTTTTATCTGTCCCTTATAACATGAATGAAACAATAAACTGAAATGACATGATCAGGTTGATGGCCTTGTAAAACATTATTTGACATGTGACATGTGGCCTCAGATTATGTTGCTGTCATAATAACCAGTCATTAAGCACTAGATTCTAGGATTCACAGATTTAATTGCATTTGATAGGTAATATTCATTCACTGTCACAGCTGTTCTGTTTGACACAATAAGTTTTAATCTGGACAGGATGATTCAGTCATCAAGCCAGACATTATTGAAATACATTGCACACAAATTCTAGCATAAGAATGCAGATTTTGATTGAATCTGTGTACTTACTTGCTTTCTTAACTTTTCTCATAGATTCACTTTCGTTCATGGTCCTCTCAATGCAACCGTCACTCTCGTCGTCTGCCAGCCATTTATCACATACAAATGTCTGCGTTATACCAGTAGCCGGACAGTACACCTCAACCTGATGTGGAATTAGATTCAATATATTATGCATGTTTGATCGAATTAAATGAGTTAAATAAATTTAAAAAAAAAATGCCCTCAAAATTAGAACATCCTAAAGTGTGTGCAAGGCTATTAACCTACCTTTTCTAGATGCCAACCCGATCCGGGTCCCGAATTGTCATGACCGATGGTTAACCGAGACAGCGGACTCAGCATTGTAGCACATTCCACGTTACAAATATCTGTACGACCACGCTCAAACTTGCCATCATTCAACCAGACCTTGCCACTGTTCTCTTCACCTCTTTCACCACCATACATTATCACATAGATTCTGGCACTGGTACCGGCATGGCGTTTGTCACTGGTAGTCACACGGAATTCATACGGAAAACCTGAATGATAAATTAACTCAATCATTAAAAGTAATCAATCTACGAATGACTGCAATGCATACACACTTTATTCCTTGTTAAAATACAAATGTACTATGATCCAGTAATTGCTTCCGCTTCCAATTTGATCGATCAATTCACATGCCAATAATAACTCAGTGCGACAAATACATTTGTATGTGCGATTTTTTAAATACTTTACACTCTTTGTGCATATTCATACCCTCAAATACATGTACATCACGTAATAGTCCCAGCACCTTGATAAAGCTATATAAATAATCTCCAGTGCAATTTTAACTTTCACAAAAATTATGCTCTCCAAACACTCTCAAATTATTTGACAGTGAACATTTCTAGCAGCAAAACTTTAACCATTCACACGCAATGTGTTAGGATGATATGACACACATATATAATCCTTTTTTTATTTCTATCTATTGTCACTTGACCATGTTAATTTCAAAGTGAATAATAGCAATAAAAGTAAATACCACTAAAAGATGTGTGTTTACCTGCAGGGGCATCTCCTGGTTTACCTCCAACTAATATATCTCTCTGTATCTGACCATCATCTTCTCTTTTGTCAAACCACCTATGACATGGAAATTCATAACACCTCTTCTGTTCAGAGTCATCTATTATTACCTACATTCAAATACAAAAATACATTACATTACACACCTATCAGTAACTATGAATATCATATTACTTTAAATTATATTATATTACATTACATTACATTACATTACATTACATTACATTACATTATATTATATTATATTATATTATATTATATTATATTATATTATATTATAGTACAGTATTAACGTCATGATGAACAAAATTTATTCATTTTATCTTTTTAAAATGCACCGCCAAGGGAACATATGATAATACAAATTCTCATTCCATGCATGGAAAGTTCATCACTCTCCAAGCAACTTTTTATTTAAATTTCAAGTGACAGTTGTCAGCACAGATTCAACAGGATATAGGACAAAGCATTATTTACTGAATTGACTGCTAGTAACAGTATCGTATGTTATATTATTCCTGTACCTTATCTAGAAACCAACCAGGTCCAAGTCCTGCGTTGTCATGTCCAATTCTTATCTTCTTCAATTCACCCAAATGTGGACACTCTAAAATGAATTTGTCTTCACTGAAAATAAGCAAAACATTATAAAATGAAAACTTCTGTAGACTATGTCAATTCCTGTAGACCACACCCATTTGTGTAAACTATGCCTATTTCTGCCAACCACGCCCACTTCTGTAGACCTTGTATAAATATATGTGCTCATGCTGGCTTGATGTAGATAATATGTACTTTCAATTTTTATAAGTTTAATATGCAAATGTTTTTTTCAATAATAGACACAAGTTCATTTGTACTCACCTTCCTCTCTCAAAATTATTGCCTTTAGCCCGTAGTTTCTTCTCACCACAATCTCCAAACTCTCCAAAGATTGTGATGGAGACATTAGCATCAGTACCAGCCTTTGCTCTATCTCCGGTATACACACGTACAATGTACTTATTAGCTGAATAGACAAATACACATTGTTTAATTTCACTACGCAGCAGAGAATATTTACATTATTTCTTACATTTACATGCATTTCCACGCCTGAAAATCCTGAATCACAATTACAATTTCTCTTGTAGCCGACGATGACCAGCAAATTTATAAACAGAAATGGCAATGCTTCTTTAGTTTCACTATGATTTATTATGTACCATGAATGAAATCTGTTACGTAGTCACAAGCCAAGATCAAGCCCATATGCCGTTCATTATAAGCATGATATATACCCAAATTCAAGTGATGTTTATGCATAATAAATAAATAAATAAACGCAAAAACAAATAAACAAACAAACAAATAAATAAATACAATGTTGTGATGTACAGGGTTATACACAACATGAAGACAGTCAAAAGAAATTTTTTGTTTAACCAACAATTACGTTTCAGCTATTGGCATGCCATAAATGTAATTATTGACCATGTGATCTAACATTGCGAGTAACAAAAGTTCGAAAATGTTTAATGAGTTTACATGGTTTATTCAAGGCAGCTCGTAGACAGTCAATTCGCAAAAAATATAGTTTTGCATCATGTGGATCAGTTTTGGATGAGGGAACCATAAAGTAATGGCTTGTTCTTCACATGTGCGTTTTGTGAACCAACATAAAAATAGTTTGATCTAACCAGTTTCAACCACATAACAGTTCTGAAACAGTAAGCTGGCTAGCAAAACAGTAAGCTGGCTATGTTGCCATTTCAGTGTATGATACAACATGAAAGTGAACATAATATAACACAATGATTAACAATTTTTTTTATTATAGGGCCCTTTTCTCTCAACATTTCTATATCAATGTATATCACAAACATTCATTGGTGCACACGATACTATGATATTGAACTGATAAAGTTTAGTGAAGTTATTATTAATTAGATGTAACCTACCTAGTCCTGCAAAATGGCAGTATGTATGGTATGAGTGAGAAAAAAATTATAGAACAAAATGTGAATAATTAAACATGATGAATGAAATAGACTGTAAACCGCTTGAAATTTCAGGGAAAGTCAAAGAGGTGAAGATTCCACTGAGTCACAGCGATCTGCACAACATTTTTTCTTAGTTAACATTAAATTATTCAATCAAACTGGTCAAGTCAGTATTAACGTAAACTACATGAATTTAAAGAGACACATTTTTGAAAATTTCAGTCAGTGAAAATCGGGAAATTTTGTAGCACTTGAAATTTATTCCGACGTTTCTAAACACACATAATCAGAGCAACTTTACAAAATGTTGTCATCATGAATGAAAATTCAACGGTTTACAGTATATAGTAAGTGGATAATGGGTAAAATATTGTCCTATTATTGTGTTGTAACATGTAATGGAGGTGCACTGGAAGCAATTACACTCAATAGTGAGTGACTATATTATCATTAAAGAAATTACAAATTTTTTTTAGGTTTATAATGAATACAGCATGGCACTGTGGTACTTTATCCAACTTAGTAGGTTTGTATTATACTTATTAATTAATTAGTTTATTACTGTTGTTTTCTGTGATAAAGGAAAGAAGACAAAATCACTATTAAAACTCAACACACCTTTCCTGACAGCCATTGGATCTGTACTACCCAGTAAATCTTTGTACGTCAACCGATCTCCTTCATCCTTGGCGAGCCACTGACCGCAAGGGAAATAAAACTTAGCTTTTTTTGGATTTCTTAAATCTGTAATGACAACCCGTTCAAGAAACCAACCAGGACCGAATCCAGTGTTGTCATGCTCAATCCTACAAGAAAATTACAAACTTATTTTTCACATTTTCCAGAATTGTTGAGGCCTGATGGCTTCATAGTGAAAAGCATTCTAAATATGTCAAGGTTTGCCAAAAGTTATGTTTCGTAAATAAACAAGGAAATACTTCAATTTTTGGGAAGATTGACAATTGACACAGTACTGTAGAATAATTTATTTTCGCTTGGAATTAATTTTTTGCTCAAGGAATGATTTAGTGAAAAATAAAATCCACCGAATATACCTTTTCCCTTATATTGTACTTTCAACTCGTCAAAAATCAGTCAAATATATCCTATACAAAATACCCAAAAAGTCTTTTCAGCGAAAATTAATTCCAGCTAAAATAAAGTATTTTACAGTGTTTTACTTTATAAGGGTAAGGCTTCACAGTAGTTGCCCAGCCTATGTTAGAATTCCATGTATCTTGCATGGCACCCGAACAGTCATGAAGTGGTGTGATAACTGTACTGCTTTAATAATATATACATTGACATACATTGGTACAGCTAAGGACAACCCCTCATATGTGCATCACACCTATTAACAACCACAAAACAATACAAAATTGTTTTCAAAAATTATTAAAATCTGACCTTATTTTTCGAATCATGCCAACATTGTTAGATTTGAATCTACAAATATCTGTCTGTCCTCTTTCAAATGCATCTGCTCCTTCTGGCCTCAGGTGTTTCTTACTTGATGTACCCCTCTGTCCATACATGGTAACGTAGACATTAGCATCAGTACCAGCTCCTTTCACATTACCGGTGATTGTCACAACTTCGTATTCTGGAAAAACAACCAACCAAAGACATTCAGAACGCTATCAAATGTTGACGTTAATTGGTTAGTGCTTTAAAGCATTATAAATTACAGTGGATTTCAAAAGAGAGTTCCTGAATTACTATCAAGTCAGTTAAGAACTTTACACTGCTACTATACTACATTTGAATGTAAAGTAAGTAAAGGGAACTGGACACTGTTTTGAAATTGATGATATTTAAAGCTGAGGTAACACTGCCTCAAGTATAATTTAAGAACATAGTCCTTTAGAGAAATTACAGTGAATTTCAATTTGCTGTATTTGTTTCAACACATCTGATCAGATCAAAAAAAAAAAAAAAACTGTAAAACATGTCTTTTTCGCGAGCATGTTTTAGCTACTGGGTTATTTGTAATCTCGCTATAAATTCAAGATGTCACTAATTTAAAATAAAGTATATTCTCACAGTGAGAGTGTTGGCACTTTAGCAAAATTAAGATTCTGTTAATATATAATTCATGCAGAATCTGGATTAACAACATTAATATCGCTACCTTCTTATTAACTACCACTGACCTGTTTTGCCATATTTCTTCCCATCATATGCTTTCAATTCTCTAGACAGCTGACAGTCGGCTTCAAATAATGACAGCCATTGATTACAAGGAAACAACCATGATTTTCCACTTATTAAATTGGTAATAACAACCTCTTCTAAAAACCAACCACATCTCTTTTCTAGGCCATCATGCTGTAATAAAATCAATACAGACATTATTGATTTGTCTACAAATATTCTCGCATATATTATGATATTTTTGCAATGAGAAAACATAGAAGTTGTACCCCACCTGCCTCAAATTTCAAAGTGATTTATCTATTTATCTACCAACAATAACAGTCTCAACACAGCTACATTAATTGTACATTAATTGATTTACTGTGACTTTGAAAATATAACATGTAAGAGAGAACAGAAATACAACAACAGCAAACACCTACAGGATTTTGGCATTAGAATCACCCACCAGTTGACAAATAAGGGCATGTAATTTATTAATAATTCAAGTGGTGATCTTTGGTACTGACATCATGTCTACATGATTGGGTGTTGTTTCAAAAGCTAAAGGTCAAGATAGGCAAATTTATAGTGGATGGAACAGAAATACAACAACAGCAAATGCCTACATGATTCTGCTGTGTTTGAATCACCCACCAGTTGACAAATATGTGCATGACACTTAATAATTACATGTATTCAAGTGGAGGTTTTTGCTACTAACATCTTGTCTTAAATGATTGGGTGTTGTTTTAAAGGCTAAGGGTCGAGATATGCAAATTTATAGAACAGAACAGTAATCATCTAGCAAATGTTCTGGATTCTATTTTTGAAATGAAGCAGAGAAAAAAGACAGAAGCAGATTGGGTATAGAGGTTAGTTCACCACAGTAGATTCATAGTTCAAATACTACCAGGAGTTGAACTCCAAAATTGAGATCAACCTATATTCTCGAATAGTGTGCCACAAAAACAATAGAGGCATAATCAGTGTCTGAGAATCCTTCAATAACAGTTTTTACCTCAATGCGCAGTGATGTTAAGTCTCCTAAGTCTTGACTCTTCAGTTTAAATGATTTTGTTTTACCCCTGGTAAATTTAAATGGTACTCCGGATTCTATTTTGGCATTTTTCTTTACGGAGGTCATTTTACACAATTTCTTCTTTGGCATTTTTCCTTTAGTTCCTTTAATCCAGATAAAAACCTATAAAAATAAATGAAATGATTATGAATAATATAACTATGACATCATCAGTGGTGTAATCTATTTATAGTTATGAAGAATATATTGTAAAACATTCAATATTTGTACTATTCAAAATCACAGATTTCTTGCAAGTCACTGTGACCTCTGAACCTAATGTTCATTGAAACAAAAGAACTTGACTCATGCAAGTAATTTCCTCTCACGAATTAAATCTACCATAATTTATTCTGCTAAAATATTGATGCAATAGTTTGCATGTTTTGAAGTATATTTTTTAAATTTGTGAAAAATTTAGTCTTTCACAAAAATAAAATGCTTCTTTGACTCACATTTGCATCGGTTCCCGCATTTTTTCGATCTGCAGTTTTCACATCTACCTTATACACAATAATTTTACCACCCCCGGGACCTATTGCACTTCCAGTTCGACTTCTCACACTCTGGAATGTAAACACACAATGGAAACATTTTAATCAACAATTGGGTGGAAACACAAGTGTCTATTTTGTCCTGTCACAATTTTCACCACCAAAAATAATTTTCAGAAATATAACACAAGTGAGTATTAAAGCTGAGCATGGATTGAAAAAAAAAATAGTCACATTGTTTTAATTTCACTCTATTACCAGTACACATTCACCATTTTGTAAGGAAACAAAAAACTACTGTAGAATACTTAATTTTCGCTTGGAATTTCGCGATTTTTGCCGAAGGGATGTTTCCGTGAAAATAAAATCCAGCGAATATACTTTTTTTCCTATATTTCACATTAAACTCATCAAAAATCAGTGAAAATAAATTCCACACAAAACGCCCAAAAAGCCTTTTCAGCGAAAATTAATTCCAGCGAAAATAAAGTATTCCACAGTATTCTACTGTAAAATACTTTATATTTTCGATTGGAACTAATTTCCACTATTTTCGCTGAAGGAATGATTCAGTGAAAATAAAATCCAGCGAATATCTTTTTTTTTCCTATTCCTACATTAACTGAGCAAAAATCATTGAACATAAATTCCATACAAAAACCAAAAAAGTCCTTTCAGCGAAAATTAATTCCAGGTAAAATAAAGTATTTTACAGTACTACTTGTTTACAGGCATTTGGAATCCATATTGCGAGTGTGACATGTGTAACATGACATCCTGGGAGCATATAAAGCATAGCAAGTTAACAATAGGAATTAAGACTTCCAGATGTAACAAGAATTGTAACAACTTACCCCAGCGGTCGGTGGCTTTGGTTGAAATCCAAATTTTCTGGCAAAATAGTCCACAAGATGTGGGTCGTTCAATGAACTATATGGGGGTGCTGTGACTGTGTTGCCATTTTCCACTCGTGGATAATGCTTGATATCAGCTAGATCTATTGAATCATATTTTCTTGCTATCAAACAAAATTAAATAAAATGTTAGTTATATATTCTTTTATACCAACTGGAATGTATTTTTTTTTAAATTTATTTGTTAATTTTGGACCAGGTAGTCATAGTTACAAGAAAAATCTTTGGAAAAATATGAAAAAAATGATGCAGGCATAACCTAAATAACCTAAACTCTAACTTTAAATCCTATTTTCATGCAATCATTATGCAACAGTTTATGTAGAAGTGAAATAAACAGCTGATACGGTAGTATGAAATCATTAATTTGTATAAATTCATAACATTTTTCAAAACTTTTATTATTCACAAGCTTAAGGGCTTCTCTTGCTCACTGTATTGTTATTACACAGCAGCATAAGTGGCCCCTTTCTAACTTTAATTGTAATACTCACCAGCATAAGGAGCCCTCTTGCTGACACGACTTTCTATTGGATTGTGTCTTAATGATATCGTGAAGTTTCTTCTCTTGGCATGGTTTAATTCAGCTCTGGAGTCATGCCATGCTGGTCTCACATCTACAGGACCAGTGGGACGTCTCACTGGAGCTAAAACAAACAAATAATACAAAATAAATAAATATTATGATGGGATTTCAGTCACTTGAGATAGATAAAAGAAATATGCATGTTCAATGAACTATCACACATTCAAATTTGGTTTTTGAAGGCAAAAATGGGTTGAAAATAATCAGAAATGTGCAATAAGTAACCATTTAAGTTTTGTATTTTTTGTTCCAAGTTTGAACAAAATTGTAAGAGAAATACATTGAAAGCTGGAGTCAGTATAAATGTTTATACGGTAAATATAAAATTTTTATAAATCAAAATAATAAAAGCTGTTGATTGGTATTTAAAAATTGTTATAAATATGTCTTTAAACATATGTGTAATTCGTAAGACCAGATTTCATCAAACAGAGATTTAAAATGTACACATGTTAAAACTTCGATGGACTATGCCACAGTATACTATTACACAATCTAGCACCGAAAACAATAAAATTTATCGTCATTAAAAAGCTGTATTTGCATTCATTCGAAACATGTTCAAAACTTTCCTTTGTTTATAATGGTAGCAGAAGCACTGTAGCGCATGGCAAAAATAGAACCAGTCACTGAACACAAATAATCATATCCTCGGGGGCGGAGCTACGTCACAAGACGTTCCACGTTGCTGAGACGCGTACCACTGTACATGCATTTTTATGGGCTCTGTGCGCGCTGCTGTGGAACGCCGGTTGAGCCGGTGAAAATTCGAGAAAACAACACAAACTCAACTTTGAAGTAATCCCGAACAACCAAATTTATATATGTTATACACGGTGATCTAATCTTGTTACACTGTTCAGAGGAGTCTCAACAATCATCCCAAAGTACCGGTACTGTTTTCTGTGAGTTTTGGGCCTTTGTTTTCACCGCCGCTGGTTGCTGGGCGGTGAAAATACCCGGATGTCCGCCCCCGAGGATAGCCACAAATCTTAAATACATCTTTTGCTGAATTTTTGAGCTGTGTTCTTTTATCAAATTTTCATGCAGGTAGGAAACAGTATAATAATTATAATATGGTTATCATGAGCATACTGCAGGTATGCAACTCAGCAATCACACTGATCTCTGCTAATGTTGGTTGATATGAAACGCAGTACTGCACTTTGTGGTATTTTTTTTATGTAACCTTACATGTATATTATGAAATACAAATGTACTTCATGGTAATTACATCATAGCTTCATCTTCCATCATCTAAATTCAAATTTCCTATGTACGAAGAACTGTTCATCAATTTATCTTCAACAGCCTGGGTAACTGGCAAACACCATAACAGAATATATATGGTCTTAAAGTAAAAATAAAGACTCTCTTAATTACCTGAACTTGGCCTTGTTTTGCCTGTGGCATATGGTGCGTAGGGATCTCTAGTCCTGACAGGCTGATATGATGTGTATTTGGGAGTTACCAGTAAACTCTTGACACCTTCAGAACTCATTCTCACTTCAAATGCTTGTTATCATTATGTACTACAGATATAGACAAAGAAGATAAATCAGTCAAGAGTCAGTAATGATATGAAAACATCTGTAGCTAGATTCTTTACCTGATATTACCTTGCCATGAAACATTATATTTGTTTTCAAATAGATACACATTATTAATAAGCCATGATGTGTTTTTATTCTCTTGAATATTGATGATAACTTTTAATTAACATATAAAAACAGTAATGATATTTAGGTAAATAAAATATCAATAGGCCATGATAAAAATGATGTTATCACATTATCATGTACATGAATGTGTAATAAGGATTTATAAGGTATAAAGTACTGTGAAATACTTTATATTTGTTTGGAATTCATTTTCACTATTTTCACTGAAGGAATGATTCAGTGAAAATAAAATCCAGCTAATATACCTTTTTTCCTGTATTTTACATTCCAGTCATCAAAATTCAGTGAAAATACATACAAAACATTAAAAAATTATTTTACAGTATGCAACTGGTATGATATGATGTGAAAATCTCATTTGAAGACACAAGAATTGTGAGATTACTAGTATTACAATTTCTAGAAACAGTAAATAAGTATGTCTGTGAAAAAAATGGTTATAGTGTTCTTCTCTGTATATGATACATGGTTATCTAGTTAACATTCCCATATATTATAAATGGTTGGTGCTATGTGTAATATATTAATAAAGTTTGTTATCCTTTTTTATAATACTCATGCATAGACATATATCAATCTTTGAATGTCTCACGATGGAATGAATGTTTTGACATATATTGAGTTATATTGTTCTTAGTAACAATTCCCTAGTTTTTAAGAAAATTAACCATATGAATTATGAGTTAAAAAGCTAGTTATGTTAGATCATCTATCATTACCCATAAGGCATTATGAACCTATAGCACATATGTATATGCAGGGTTATTTTCAAAAAATTAAAATATTAATAAATTATAATCACAGAGGTATGATGTAAAGCAAAAATACATAGCATCTTTCAGATCTTTGAAGACACATTTATCTGTAAGACCTAGAAAACAAATATGTATTTCTGGTCATGCACACCCCAGTTAAAATGTGTGAGTCACAAATTTGTTTGAAGATTTTAGTCAGCATTTTAGAAAAAATGAAAGCAAAATTCAGTTTCACAATTTTAAGGACAATTTTAAAAGTGAAAGATGGAATCAACCAAAAGGCTCATATTTTTTTCTTGTCCTCACTTGGTATTTTGATATTACTCCCACTACATTTAGCATCACAACTTTGGTTGAATGGACTTCAACAATAGTTTCCATGGTAACGATAATAATTTAATAAATGACATTTGAATGAGTACAAATATATAATAATTCACTTTTACAATTCCCATGGGGCTTTAGAGACATTTAAAGACAGTATACAAAAACAAATTTTGGAATTATTTGATTATAAATGTTTGTTTTTGACATTTTTTAGTGTTCATATTTATTAATTTCTTTGAACAGATATACATTATTTATTGTAATTGTGAATGG